CCAGAATTCTCCAGCCAGCTCTGCAGAGCTGGCTGGAGAATTCTGGGAGTTGAAGTCCACAAGTCTTAAAGTTGCCAAGTTTTGGGAACCACTGTTCTAAGGGAGTCTGAGCTGTTCTTGGCCGCTTCCCTTTTTTTCTGAGCTGGAAAACCGTCTTCTCCGCTGATGGGAGGGCAAAGGAGGGAGGGGGGGCCTCCCCAGAGACCCCTCACCCCCATTGTGCCAATCAGGAGGGGAGTGAGGCTGAAATCAAAGGGAAGTGTGAAGTTCGCCCGGGAAACAGCAAATCTCCATCTGCAGGATCTTCGCTTCGCTTCTCAGCTCCGAGAAACTGATGCTGGGAGGGGTCCCAGGGCAGCTCTTGGCGGCCGCCCCCCCTCCCTCTTCCTCGAGAAGAGGAGGAGGAGGAGGAGGAAGTCGAGCGGAATCTGCTCCAGAGGAGAAAATGTGCAGGGAAGTGGAGAAGTCTGCCCCCCAGGGATGGTCCAGGAGGGATGGGAGAACTCCAGAACTCAAGGCTCTTGCAGCAAAGGCAGGCAGTGGAGGTAGGGGGGAAACTCGGTTAGGGGGTGACTATGGGGCAGGGTTACCCCCTGTTGGGGTCCAAGAGGGACGCGGCCAAAGGGGGAAGGAGCGGATGAGAAGTAACAGATTAACAGAGTTGGGAGGGGGCCTTGAAGGCCATCCAGTCCAACCCCCTGCCCAAGCAGGAGACCCCACACATCGGCCTCTGCCTAGGATCGAACCCACAAACTCCTGATTGGGAGAAGGGGGAGCATTCCAATCGCCACCACTCCCTAAGTTAAAATACAAAACAAAGAAGACAGAGAAACGAAACGGCTCTTCGCGGGGACGCTAATAACTGTAAAATGTAAAAGCCCAGGCGTGCCCTGATGGCACGCCTCTGCGGATGCTACACCTGGTTGCAAGCATGCATTAAGACCCACTTTCCCGGTGATGTTGTAACTTGAGAGCAGTCACTAAACGTTCCGGGGCATGTCTAGGAATAGCGGCGTGATGGGATTCCTCCGCTTGCTTTGACCGCAGATGTCCAGTGGAGAGAGGAGAGGACAGCAGCTGTGGTTTTAATTTCAACGGGCGGAGAGAGCTGGACATCGGATCCATCTTGACGAGATCCCTTCCAAACAGAGCCAGAGAAAGAAGAACCCGCAGGAATCTCCAAGTCCAACCCTTCTCCCCCCCAAAAAATAAACTCTGGCTTCATTTCTGCTAGAAAGCCTCTCCCCCCCCAACCAGATGTTTTCCAGATGTGCTGGGTGGCACGCTTCCAGCCGGCACGCCTGGTTTCCAACTCCCTTGTCAGGAATGGAAGCTGCCACTTCTGGGGGGCACCAAGGCCTGTTTCTCTCCCCCCCACACCCCGGGTCATAAACTACCCCAATGCAGAAGACTCCAATCCAGCGGATCCTATCCAAGGTGGCTTTATTCACAGCTGGCCCAAGAGGTGGTCTCCTTCAAGGGACGTGGGCGTGCAGAAAAGGTCCACAGAATAACTGGGAGGGACTTTGGAGGTCATCTAGTCCAGTGTTTCTCAACCTTGGCCACTTGAAGATGTCTGGATTTCAACTCCCAGAATTCCCCAGCCAGCGAATGCTGGCTGGGGAATTCTGGGAGTTGAAGTCCAGACATCTTCAAGTGGCCAAGGTTGAGAAACACTGGACTAGAATCATCAGCTGCTCTTCATTGTTGCAGCCCTGCTGAAGAAGTTACAACTGTTAAAATTGTAAATTATGCACTTAAATTTTAGGAAACAAAATGGTTGTCCTAAGTCAGAGGTGTCAAACTCACATCGTCACGGTAGCGTCATGTGATGTATCGGGACTTTTCCCCTTCACTAAACTGGGCATGGGGGTGGCCAGCACATGATGCATCCATGCAGGTATGCAGATCTATCCCATTATTCCACTATTATCCTTTGGGGCAGGGTTGGGAATTTCTATGCCATAATATGGTGCTCTCCAAATGTGCAGGTAGTCCTTGAACTTACAACTGTTCATTTAAGCAACCATTTGAAGTTATAATA